TCTTCTGTGCTAACTGCAAAGGGGGAAAAAAATAATAATGTAACATGCTGAAGCCATTACGAAAGGCCAATGCTCTGCTGGCGTCTCATCCCAGCTGAGCACCACAGTGCACTGTGCTCTGGAGCCTTTCGGCCCAGCTCCGGCTCAGGGCTTGGCCGACAAGCTTGGGACCAGTTAACAGAGCTCTGCAGCGGGCTTGGGAATGGCAGCAGTCGACTGCAGTGAGAGCCGTGGCTCGTAGCTCAGTGTTTGGGGGCAAACGGCACGGCACGCTCCGCTGCTTCGTGATGGGTGGCTGTCAGTGCTAGCAAGGAAGAGAAGGGGTGTGCGGGTGTGAGTCTGAGTGTGCGTGTGTGTCTGTGCCTCAGTAGGAAGGTGCCGTGGCTGTGTCCCACTGACCTGAAGCAGCTTTTCTGCCCCAGCAGGGCCAGCGCTGCTCCGTAGGCCTTTAGTGAAAAGCATCACCAAAAGAAAAAAAACAACCAAACAAAAATCAGAGGGGGAAAAAAATTAAAAAATAAAAAAAAACCCTACCCCCCCTCCCCCGGCAGTACAATCTTTAGAAATGCACGTGCTACACTAAATCACCACCCCTGGGTCAAGCCCCAGCCTTCTGCCACGTGGCCATGCGTGTGTGTGTGTGTGTGTACATGCAGGCAGGGATTTGGGCAGGCGTGTAGGGCAGAGGAGGAGCGGGGCTCCACTGTGGCAGAGGAGGGATGCTCCCACTCCTGGGGTTCAGGGCCAGGACTGGGGTGGCAGGGCTGGTGTGGGGTGCAGGGCTGCGGCTCACCCTGCACCTGCAGCTGGGAGCTGGACACGGCTTCCTCCTGCTGCCCGGAGCGCGCTGAGGCGGGGTGGGGGCCTGATCTTGAGCTTGGGCCTCTGCAGCCGTGTTTCTGAGCAGGACCCCAGTGCTCCGCACCCCACCTCAGGAGGTGCTTTAACAGGGACCAAAAAAAAAACCCAAAACCCCACAACTTTGGACGGTGCCTAAGTAGCAAGGACGGCCTGTGTTCCCCCGTCGCTGATGCCGGTACCAGGATGCAGCAGCGTGCCTCACCCCCAGGCATCACCCGCTGCACGGGTCTGTCAGCAAGGGGCCAGCTCAGCCGTATAATCCCTGGGCAGGATGCGGCCCTTGGGTAGGGTCAGGCACAGGAACGGGCTAAGCAGGGTCTGCCCTTGCTGCGCTGATGAGCCGGGAGCCCCAGGGACCTGCCAGCGAAGGGGCTCAGTCTGGCAGCAGGACCTGCTGCATGCCGGGTGCAGGGCCCGCAGGAGCTACTGCAGGGATTTGACAATAGCCCTCAGGGCATGGGGCATCTCCGGGACAGAGGGCGAAGCGCTGTAGAAGGTGCCAGTGTGATTTCTGCGCTGCTCTCGGAGGTATGGAGGGACAGATGAACTTTTGATGTGGAGGATCCTGGTGTCCATCACTTCACAGTCGATCTGCATCATCACCTCATAGTCCTGCCCGTTGATCACATTCTCTGCAAAAGAGAAAAAAAGATTAAAAAAAAGAAAAAGAGTTAGCCCCGCAAGCTAGTGACCCAACAGTACCAAAAGCAGAGCTTTCTGGACCTTTTTTTCATCTGGAGCAGGAGGTGGAGCGGGAGGACCCCCTTCCTTTTTGCAGCTCCACACGTGGAGCTCCATCTCACGCAGCACAGCCCCAGCCTGCTCGTGACACCCCAAAGAGCCCAGGCCACACTTAGCATGTGCAGTCACACCTAGACATTAACGTAAGTCTTTTCCCCTTCTTCATCTGCACATAATTACCAATGGAGTTTGAATTGTACTACATTTATTACCGAACTGTTCGCGTGATTGAGGTGATTGACTGAAGATAGGGCTTATTTGAGCAAGCTGAATGTTTCACTTTCTTTTCACTGGTTTAAGAATACCATAACCCTCTTGACACTGAGGATCTAGAGGAATTTATTCACCAGATTATTAGCAACAAAAGTTAAAATGTGATCTCTCAAAAGAACTAACTGTGCCCCATTACCACGCTGACCTGGCTGTTGTACTTGCATGATGTTGTAGTGACACCGGACAAGGCCATTACCCTGAGAGACCTCTAGACACGGGGAGACCCAGGCCAGCACAAGGGACCCCGGCGCAAGGGCATGCCGGGCTGCACCACCCCGGCGCGGCCCCAGGCTGGGCACGTCTGCTGCAGCAGAAGCTCCTGGGCTTACAGGCGGAGGCTGTGCACATGGCCAGCATCTGCTGCCTGGATTTGAAGGTGGGAGACTATTCCCTGCATAGACAGTGTGTCCAGGAATGCGAGCGCCGAGATCGGATTTCCAGGCACGACCAATCCTTGCCTTTCAGAGTCAGAAACGCTGACTGCCATCGGCAGGGTTTTCTTTCTGTGCTGAGGAGGATGGAAGATCACCTAATGGAAAGCGTATGGATTGGAGGAATGCAATATACATTACTAATTTTTACTGTTTTCCTGGATTAATTCTGACTCTGGATGACAGCTGACAACTGTGGCTGGACCCTCTTGTACCCCACGCCACCTGTAGAAGCCATTAGTCAAATACGTCTGGTATAGCAATGAAAAGCAGGAGCAAACCCTTGCTAAGGGGGCTGAGGGCCTGCAAGGGAAATCAAAGCTCCCACCTGCAGAAATGAAATGGAAAAAGCTCCGTATGTGCCACTGACCGACCGAGGCCAGGAGCAGCTGTGCATGTCTCTGTGCCACTGACCCAAACACCTCGACCCTCTGGCTGTGGTGCTGCTGCTAAAGCCCTCCCAGGGTCCCCCAGCTGGGACCCTCTTTGAGGCCATCCCTCCAGGTCAGCCCTTCTTTCATCCTTTGGAAGTGCTCTTGGTTCCCACCCGGCAGGCTCAGGACCCGACAGCGGAGCGGGCTGGGCTGGTGGTGCTGCTCAGGACGGAGGGCTGCACAGGGCAGCTGGGGGCACAAGGAGAAGCTGGCGGGTAAGAGCCTGGCTTTTGGGCTGGAGGGAGCAAACAGGGACAGACAGGCTCCCTGTGACACAGCAA